CCGTATGATACTGTAATGGTGGGTACATGACATTATGCATTTGGCAAAACCCATAGAAAGCACAACACTAAGAATGAACCCTAATGGAAACCATACAGTTAATTATATCAATACTGGTTCATCAATTATAACAAATGTTCCACACCAAAGCAGAATGTTAACAAAAGGGGAAACTGGGGGCAGGGGGAGGAATATATGGGAACTCTCTGTACTTTCTGCTCAATTTTTCTGTAAACTTAAAACTTCTCTTAAAAATAGTTAGCCAGGTATGGTGGCTCATATCTGTAATCCTAGCACTTTGTGAGGCTGAGGCAGGAGGATCTGGAGGATCACTTTAGGCCAGGAGTTTGAGACCAGCCTGGCCAACATAGCAAGACTCCGTCTATACAAAACATAGAAAAAAAAATTAGGCGGGTGTGGTGGTACATGAGCCTATAGTCCCAGCTACTCGGGAGGCTGAGGCAGGAGGATCGCTTGAGCCCAGTGGTTTGAGGTTGCAGTGACCCCCTGTACTCTAGCCTGAGCAACAGAGTGAGACCGTGTCTTAAGAAAAAGTATTAATTTTTATTATTATTTATTTATTTTGAGATAGAGTCTAGCCCTATCACCCTGGCTAGAGTACAGTGGTGTCACAGGTCACTGCAATCTCAAACACCAGGGTTCAAGTGATCCTCCTGTCTCAGCCTCCCGAGTAGCTGGGACTATAGGCATGTACCACCACGCTTGGCTAATTTTTCTATTTTTTGTAGAGACGGGGTTTCGCTCTTGTTCAGAGATGGTCTTGAACTCCTGACCTCAAGCAATCCTCCTGCCTCAGCCTCCTAGAATGCTAGGATTACAGGCTTGAGCCACTATGCCTGGTCTATTAATTTTTTAAAAAAGCAATACAAGGCTGGGTGTGGTGGCTCATGTAAGGGTGGTGAACTCACTAGGTGCTCACAGTGAGGATGGAGAAAGATTTCTCACACAGAGATTAAGATAGAAAGATGTACAAAGTTTTATTTTATTTTCTCCTAATAAGAAAGAGCTCAACACACGGAAGGAACAAAGGAGTGTTGGCTCTGAGGCCAAACGGCTCTGACTCTTTATTAGGCAAAGTCCGAGGAGGGATAGAGGGAAATTTATGACTGTAGCCCAGTTAGCAGGAGACAACAGTGAAATTGCTGCTTTGGCTTTCTCCCTTTTTCCTTGGCTGTAGACCGATAACAGAAGATAGCTGCAGCTGCTGGCCGCTTTTCCTTCTTTTTCCTGGTCCTGGAGACTTGCTTATCTCTGAAATATAGAAAAACTGGTCTGGCAAATGTAAAGGAGAATTTACACTTTTCTTTTGTCGGCTCAGCTCCTTTTAATTGCTGTGTAAACACTCTCAGCGAGCTATAAAGAATCTTAAAAGACAGGTAGTTAATCTCAAGAACAGCGAGTTTAGGGTTAATGTCCCTGCCATCAGTTCTTAGAGTCAGTGAGTTGAGATACATGTCATTACTTAGAGACTGCAGGTAAAATAATTTATTTTCCCCTTGCTAGTCAATTACTAGCAAGGTCATCCTATCACTCATGCCTGTAATCTTAGCACTTTGGAAATCCAAGGCAGGATGATGGCTTGAGCCCAGAAGTTTGAGACCAGCCAGAGCAACATAGTGAGATCTCGTCTCAACAAAAATAAATAAATAAATAATTTCGAAAAAAAGACAATACAATACCAAAGCATGAGTATGGCTAGCAACTCTACTCATTGAATCCAGTGTTTTCAGTGTGTAACCTATTCTTAGATTTTTGGTTTATTGGTATGGTTTATGTGATAATAGATATAAAAGTTCTTCACATAGTGTTTAGTTAAATTTTGCAAAACTGCATTCTGAGGAAGTCCTATTCTTTCATTTTTAAAGCTAAAGAAGGGAGGGTGAGGTGAGGAAGAGAGGGAGGAAGAGGAAAAGAAGGCGGCAGCCCAAGAGAATCGATGGAGGGAATCAATGTCACAGTTCCATATTTAACATTTGCCCTTAAAGGAACAGCAAATGTGCAACACATTTATTTTTTACTATAAGCACAACAGTTTTGTACTCTAAATGCTGCAAATAAAAAATGTCAGTAAATTGGAGTTAAGTGATGTAGGAGCAGAGGGCTGCATCTTTCTTATCTCTGCCAACCTTCTTTCTCTTTTCTGCCGTTTCACATGTAGATGTGAATTGGTAGTTGTTCCGTTGTATCTGGAATATGTGCCGCTACAACCATTGGTTGTGCTTCAGGATATGGATTGCTGGCCACGTTTTGGAGCTGCCTAATACCCTACTAATAGTTACCCAGCTAACATCCTACTCCCCTAGGGACCTGGTGGGCAGTAGAGCATTCCAATTCTCCACCCAAGTCCAGTGCTGGACACTGTGTTATTGGATGTTTCCTCTCTCTAGCTTTTATGTGCGCACATGTGCACACACACAATCTTTAGCATGAATATATCTTGGAATGGTCACATCACTATTTCATTCTGTGCTTCTTTTGGTCATCTGAACACTCCCACGAGCTCCAGTCACATTTCTACCTGTTGGCAGATATAGCTTCTCTCAGTGTGGTCAAATTAGAAATAATTATCCATTTATGATAGTCTTTCCAATGTGAAATTCAAATAGGCTGACCCAAGATTTGGGAAATTTTCCATACATCTAGAGGCCTAATATCATCAAACTCCTTCCTACAGAAGTAGTAGCAATTCATTATTAGAGAATAAATCCTGATAAGCTAGGTTAGAGGAACTGACAAAGCCAGCACACCAGTAGAGTTATCAGGGATCACAATCTAAGAAAATTATTTTTTTAAATTATGTAGTTCAGGGCCGGGCGCAGTGGCTCACGCCCGTAATCCTAGCACTCTGGGAGGCCGAGGCGGGAGGATCGCTTGAGCTCAGGAGTTCAAGACCAGCCTGAGCAAGAGTGAGACCCTGTCTCTACTAAAAATAGAAAAAAAAAATTAGCCGGGCATGGTGGCACATGCCTGTAGTCCCAGCTACTCGGGAGGCTAAGGCAGGAGGATCGCTTGAGCCCAGGAGTTTGAAGTTGCTGTGAGCTAGGCTGGCGCCATAGCACTCTAGCCCGAGCAACAGAGTGAGACTCTGTCTCAGATAACTAACTAACTAACTAACTAACTAACTAACTAAATAAATAAATAAAGTAGTTCCAGTTTTCATCTTGTAAATCCTTTCAAAGGAGATTAGTGATTAAAAACTGTTTTACTCTTGCAATCTCTTAAACAATTGCATAATTGCAAAGCACCTGATAATTCAAATGGACACAGACTACAAAAGAGTCCCTCTAACCCCCACTCCCTCAAACCCCATTTCCACAACCCAGATCCCTACATCGGCTCTCTGGGTGTCAGCCATGCACCTGCCTGGGCAGCTTGCAGAGTCTCAGATTGCAGAGAGGTAGTGAATGGAAGCCGAATGCCCCCATAGCCCATAACACACAAATGATTTAATTCCTATAAAAAATGGATCAGTGTAAGTGTACATGATTCCTTGTCTGGGCTGGACTGGGCTGGGCTTCCATAAGACCCAACCTCTATAAGCCCAATCCCACAGGCTGCTTGCAACCTGCCTATGTGCTCTGGCTTCCCCTCACTTCCAGTCCAAGAAACACAGGCTACTCCCAGGAAACTGAGCAATTATAGCATCATGCCAATCAGAGGTAGGGGTAGGGGTTTTCTCTTTGAAACTAAGGAACGCACCCACCAGTCATGGGGTAGACTAATCACTGTTGCAAACTTGGCTTTTATAAGCAACTGATGCAACGGTGTACAGCCTGGTGTCACAAAAGTTAGGGCACAGTTTTTCCATTCAAAACTTTCTTATTGGAATTTTCCCCAAATCCCCATCACAAATCACATAATTTGTCTTACTCAATTCAGGTTTGGACCTTTCCCATCACCAACTGGTTTTACATAGAAGACATTCAATAGTGTGGCCTGCTTTTTCCATTTAACATTATGTAATAATCTTTACCTTAAATTTCAAAAAAGGAGATTTCTCATCACCAATTGGCATTGTTTTTTGCAGTCTTTAACAGACATTACTTCTTAGGAAAATCCCAGAGGCCACCAAGTACTGGTAGATTAGATTTGGAATTTCCACAGCAAACCTATGTGCCTTCAAAAATCCAAATCATCAGAATTAGTGTCAGAATGGTCTCTCATTTAAAAACAGGGCCAGGCACAGTGGCTCATGCCTGTAATCCTACTACTTTGGGAGGCCAAGGCAGGAGGATCGCTTGAGGCCAGGAATTTGAGGTTGCACTGAGCTCTCATGAGGCCACTGCACTCTAACCCAGGCAACAGAGGGACACCCTGTCTCAAAATAAGTAAACAAATAAGTAAATAAAATAAAAACAGTAAAAATGAATAGAAATACTGATCATTAACCATATACTGTTGGACTAGTATACGACGGGACTAGTTTAGCGGGCTAGATAAAGATGAGATCACAAGTTCATTGTTCTGGAGCATACCAGTGGAGATGGGTGGCTGGGGGATAAGTATGCAGTTTTTCTCTGGGCTGTGAACATAATTGGAGTTTATCAGTCTCAAGTCATTAACATAAGAATTTGTGCCCTCTAAGCTAACTGGGCAATATGGGGCTTAGTTTATAGCTCACTACCAATCACGATAAACTCCTTATATTGCTCGGGATTGGAAAGAAAAAGAAAAACGAAATTATATAATTTATACTTCTGTACATAACGTATACAAATATATATAATTACACACAGAAAGTACACAAAACACAAGCAGAACTAACTGTGTTGTTCATACGGCCACTCAGTGAAATGTATCCTGTGTGCCGTCGTCCTTCCCTTCACATATTTCAAGTACGATGCTGAGAAAGGATGCGATCTCCGATCCAGGTTAGACTTGAAGAGCCTCACTCGGAACTGGAAGGATGTGCGAACCCGGTTGTCTCACCGGCTTATTTATACCGATACACACATCGCTTTCCGTCGGCGAGGACCGCCTAGGTTCGGGGAAGGGATTTGTCGACGTACCCGGAACTCTTTCCTAGGTTTCGTCGGGTTTGGGCGGTTGCGCGGCGGCAGGATCTGGGAACCAAGGCAACCGAGGTCTTCCCAAGGCTCGCGAGAGCGCCCCCTTCTCCCGCAGCTTCGGGAGCCCAGGAGTAGCAATGGCTCCGGTATCCCGCTCGCGCAGCCCGGAGGGGGAGGCCTTGGGCTCCAGTGGAAAACGTCGCAGTTCGTCGAGGAGTCCCAAACCCAGCAAATCTGCTCGCTCTCCGCGGAGCCGCCGCTCGCGTTCGCACTCTTGCTCTCGGTCCGGGGACAGAAATGGCCTGAGCCATCACCTGGGTGGTCTCAGCCAAGGCTCCCGAAACCAGTCCTACCGCTCCCGCTCGCGGTCGCGGTCGCGTTCTCGAGAGCGGCCCTCTGCACCGCGCGGCACCACCTTCGTTTCTGCCTCCTCGTCCGCCTATTATGGCGGCTACTCGCGCCCCTATGGGAGCGACAAGCCATGGCCTAGCCTTCTCGACAAGGAGAGGGAGGAGAGCCTTCGGCAGAAGTGAGTGAGTGAGACGGCCGCACTTTCTCGTGTACGAGCCCATCTGCCTTTGGAGTCTGATTATCGTTCATTCCGCTTCTTACTATTTGCGTTTCGCTCACTCTGCCTGCCCTGTGCCCATTTTCGTGCCTTTAATCCACCCACGACAACCCTTTATTCGTCCTTTTCCCTTACATTTTCTCTCATCCTTGGGCCCCTTCATACAGTGCCTTAGTCTCCTGCAATCCCTTTCCACCTCCTGGTTTGTTAGCGGACGTGGCCAAGAGCCTCAGACCTGCCGGAGTTGTAGCATTTACTTGGCTGCGTCGTTGTCATTCGTAAACCTATTTTTATTCTCCACTAGACTGAACTCGTGGGAAGGAGGAGTCTTATTGATCACAGAATTCGCAGTGCCTAACACTTTGTAAGCGTGCAACCATTGCTTGTTGAAGGAAGGAACAGACAGGTTTGAGATAACAGGATATGTAAGTGAAAATGTAGGGAATTGGGAAGGGTGAAATTAAGGGGTTAAATTGGAGATGAGGAAAACCTTTTTCTCAGACAAGATGATTAGTTAAATGTAGGAAGGGTCATCTGCTAAGCTGTGGATGAGGCTACTTTGAGAAAGATCTTGTTAAATGATCTCCTCAATCTTGATGAAAAATGACACAAGGATGAGATCAGATCTCCTCTAATGAGAGTGAATATTGGAGTGGAAAAATAAATAGTTTAAGAAGAAGAAAGGAAAAGGCTTATAATTATTGCTGTGTAAGTCTTAATATCTAAAGTTTATTAACTGTTAAATTATGTCAGGCACTGTACTAAGTGATTTACATGCACTATGTATTTTCAAAAAAACAAGAACTTTAGAAATACTACAGGCATTGAGGGGCAGGTTAAAGTTTCAACAGTTGGGAGATGTCTTCATGATTCTTTTACTTCCATCAATGAGAGATAATAAAGTATAGTGATGAAAAAGACATGCTCCAGAATCAGACTACCTGAGTTTGAAGCTCTTGTCACTTAATAGCAGTGTGACCTTGGACAAGTAACTTAACCTCTCTGAGCTTCATTTCCTCACCATTAAAAAGGGGATAAAATTAGTAGCAAGGTTTTTAGGATTATAATAATTTAATGCCTAGAACATAATAAATATTCCATAAGTGTTAGCCATTAGTGCTTCATGCATGGGAGCAGAAACAGTAAAAACAGTCCTGAATTAGTGTTGGAGACCTATCTCTCCAAGTTCAATTTTTCAGAAAGATACTCACAGGCTATGTCAATCAGAAAGCAAGTGGCTTCTGATTGGAGAATCTTCACCAAAAGATGTCAGAACTGCTTGGACGAAATTTGTATGTGTACATTTAGAAGATAAATAATTCAGCTTAACAATACAGATGAAGCCAAGTGGGAACTGGTATGAGAACAGGACTTAGTGTTCTTTACAGTCTGATGGGCATTCTTCCCCCTATATGCATAAATTCCAAATACATTTATAAGTATGTCCCCTTTTAGATTGTTTCTTCAAGTGGGAAAACCTTTGAGTCTGACTCTGCATAGTTAATAATACCTTTTCCCCTGAATGAAGGAGTAGAAAATTAGCCAGGTGTGGTGGCTTATGCCTGTAATCCCAGCACTTTGGGAGGCTGAGGTGGGAGGATTGCTTGAGACTAGGAGTTTGAGACCACCCTGGGCTCTCTACAAAATAATTTAAAAATTAGCTAGGCATGGTGATGAGTGCTTGTAGTCCTAGCTACTAGGGAGCCTGAGACAGGAGGATCACTTGAGCCCAGGAGTTTGAGGTTACAGTCAGCTATGATCACTGCATTCCAGCCTGGGTGATAGAGGGAGACCTTGTCTCTTAAAAAAAAAAGTAGAAAATAATTTATTCAAACAAATCAGTTATGTTTATTTTCTAAATTAAAAAAAAACAAATGGAATCATAAGCAGCTAAACTTTGAGAAATTGAACCTTAATTTTTTGTTTTTTTAGTTTGTAAATAATAACAAAAATTAAAACAGAAGAAACCACAAACATTATAAAACAAAAGAAGAAAAAGATTTTAGTGCCCTCTAAAGAGCAGAGAATGGACTGCTTTTCCAAAAAGGAACTAAAAGGAAAACAGAGGGAACAAACTGTATCTCATTGAGTACAATTTTTGTCAAGTAAAACTTTTCTTTCATTTTCAGAACTCTTTTTATTTTCTACTTCGAATGCATCCTTAAATAATCCTGGGTTTCTGAAAACTGAAGGTTTGGCCAGATCAAAGGAGACCTCTCTTTACTTTCATAAATGTGTATAAACAAATGAAGTTATTTCCAAATGTATAACTGTTTCTGTCAAATATTACAGATGTTGAGATGAGCAATTAGAAGCTATGTCATTCATTCAACAGAAGGGATGCACTTGACAGTCTCCCAGGCTATCATTTCTGTAGTCTGTATCATTTGATAGTATTATGAGAACATCAAATCCTAAGTGATGAGTTTACATTTAAACCAAGTTTTTATTAATGTTTAAAATATTAAGGGAAAATAGAACTTGACAGGACTCTTGTTGAATTTGATTATATATTTAGGAAACAATTCAGCCATTGAGTTATAATTTACATGTCTGTATCTTCTAGGAGATTAAGTGAGAGAGAGAGGATTGGAGAGCTGGGAGCTCCTGAAGTATGGGGACTTTCTCCAAAGAATCCTGAACCAGAGTAAGTGGTTAAAAAATACTTAAAATATGTCATGGCATTTGTTTAAATCCTGAGTCTATTGTAAAAATTTTTGTTAAGTGAAGAACTTTAAGTATTACTGTATCTCCCATTTTTCTTCTTTTTTGTGATTTATGCTCTTTAACCCCTTAGGTTTTAAAAATATGGAATATATCTAAGTATTCAGACATGTTGCTAGTAGATGTTAGTAGATTTTAAATTGTAATTCATAGGGTGCTAATTTCCTATTCATAGAAAGGTTCAGTGTTAAATAGTACATTTATATTATAAATATTTTGAATTTCTTTTCTCACCTAACCCAGTAGCAGATTGCATGCCAGGTATTAGCAGAATAAAGGGATTTTTAAAAATGAATGGTTTTGTTTAGTTGAATTTTCCTATATATAATACTATCTGAAGGCATAATGCTTTTTCTTTTTGCTTATTTCTTTTGGTGCTACTCGTAAGTTTCTTCTTCTATTTCTATGTCTACTTTAGGTTGAGTTGAGACAATGTGCTTGACAGGTAAACCTGTAATTTGTGACAGGATGATAAAGTGTTATTATCTGAAACTTGTTCTTATAGATACCTTTGGAAAATGCTTGAGGAGCCTGAATTCATGGAATTAGAGTTGGAAGAAACCCTAAAAATGATTTTCTAGACAATACCTAAGTTATTCCAGGTGTGCTCTTCAGAGGAAAAGATTATATGATATGGAAACTCCCTTTCTAAACTATCGTAGAACCTTAATAATACTCACTTTCAGAATTCTCTGCAACAGAAAGAAATCTCTTTAGATTGTAGTTTGTTGGGTTCTTGCTCTGAGGAGACAGAACAATTGCTCTACTATATGTCCTTTACACGCTTAGAATAAAATTATGAAATCTTCCCTCAGTCTTCCCACCTTCTTATATCTAGTTTCTTTCATCTTTCTTTTTTTTTTTTTTTTTTGAGACAGAGTCTGGCTCTGTTGCCCTGGCTAGAGTGCCGTGGCGTCAGCCTAGCTCACAGCAACCTCAAACTCCTGGGCTCAAACGACCTCCTGCCTCAGCCTCCCAAGTAGCTGGGACTATAGGCATGCGCCACCATGCCCGGCTAATTTTTTCTATATATATATATTTTTAGTTGTCCAGATAATTTCTTTCTATTTTTAGTAGAGATGGGATCTCGCTCTTGCTCAGGCTGGTCTCGAACTCCTGACCTTGAGCAATCCACCCGCCTCGGCCTCCCAGAGTGCTAGGATTACAGGCATGAGCCACTGTGCCCGGCCTCTTTCATCTTTCTTCATGATTCCTGTTTGTCTATCTTTGCCGTGTAGTTTCTTCTGAAAATATAAATTCTCCATGCTGCTTTGTTTGAATAGCACTCTGTAAACTCTAAAGCATGCAAATGTAATTTCTCTTTTTATTATGAAGGTGGTAGACCCTTGAATTCCACTCTTACAAAAGTAGTCCAGTGCTTGCTTTTAATGGTTCTTGGACAATCAATGCTGTTACTGAAAATTTTGAAGTCCATATTTTTACACTCCGTGGTCTATATCTCATCACTTTTTTAATCCTTATGACCATTTTCTTTAAATTCAGCTCTGACGAACATACACCAGTAGAGGATGAAGAACCAAAGAAAAGTACTTCTTCAGCTTCTTCTTCAGAAGGTATTTTTTTAAATTCAGAGCTATTTTATTGAGAAGTTTAAAAAAATAAATTTATAAATAGTTGAACATTAGACTTTGCATTTACTCAAATTGCTCATCATCTATTCCCCTTCAGTATTTCAAATAGAATAAAATTGATGTTCAGGAATACTTTTTTAGAAATTTTTTATTTGTATTTTCTATAGAAGAAAAAAAGAAGAAGAAAAAGTCTAGTCATTCAAAAGAAAGGTCCAAGAAAAGGAGAAAGAAAAAATCATCTAAAAGAAAACACAAGAAGTATTCTGAAGATAGTGACAGTGACTCTGATTCTGAAACAGACTCTAGTGGTAAGAAAGCCAACATTATTCTGCAAGCCTTGCCTCAAAACTAGTTTTACTTCTTTTTTTTTTTTGAGATAGGAATCTTCCTCTGTTGCCTGCAGGGGAGTGTAGTGGTGTCATCATAGCTCACTGCAGCCTCCAACTTCTGGGCTCAAGCAATCCTCCTGTCTCAGCCTCCCGAGGAGCTGGGATCACGTGTGTGCCACTACACCTGGCCTAGTTTTACTTTTTAAAACTTATTTTAGAAGATGTTTCTTAAAAAACAATAATAATAGTGAAGAGTTTTTGAACGCTTGCTGACTTTGTGCTAGGCAGCCTGATAAGTGCCTTATGTTCATTATTGCCATTTAATCCATACAATATCTGTAGGGTACATCTTATAGATGAAGAAATAGAGGCACAGAACAGGTGATAAGTATCTCACCCAAGCTCAGGCAGTTGGGATTCAAGCCTAAGCAGTCTGACTCTAGGTGGGTTGTGTATAGTTTTACGAGTCATGTAGTACCAGACCAAGTCAGGGGTTTGGGCTGCTCCAAAGGAAGCCTTACTGGGCTGCATCAGCCCAGTGGAAGGGCTCTTATGTGTAATTCTCATGCCCAATGGGCATGTCTGTACAATTTTCAAAAATTATACAGACATGCCATAAAGCACCCTGTTCAGGCTGGCTGCCGATTGATGCAAGGCACCCCTTTTGGTGGTACATCACAAAAAGCCACGTTTTTATGACATCTCCACTGATGATTGACCAGAAGGTGCCTCCTGCGGATTGGCACATTACACAAAGGTTCCCTTTCCTCTGATATCGCCTGGGTTCCTTGCCCCCCAATATCACTTCTCTTCACTACTGGAAGACAAAACTTTTAGTCCCCTACTTAAAATCCTTCAAAGCTCTCCATAGCCTTCAGGGTAAAGTTCAGACTCTGATTGATCTCTCTCTAATCACATATACCCTGTCACTCTCTCTTGTACTATCCTCTATAGCCTGACAGCTACTTTCTGTCTCCTCAGTATTCCATGTTCTTTCTCTTGACTATGTTACTTGGTACAGAAAGTCCCTCTGCCTAATGCCAGCCTGTCCCTCCATCCAGCTTGGCTTACTCATTACAACAATAGGCGTGCATTACTTTTGTAATCAACTGATTTTAAAAAGAATTAGCTTAAAAATCACCTTTTTCTGGTTAACCATTCTTCAGCCACCCTCTCCAAATCAATCTGATTTTGAGACTCCTCTGTATGTCCAGAGCACCCCAAGCTTCCCTCTGTCATTCCAGATTGTATTTATCTCTTTACTGGTCTCCTTCATTAGACTGAGCTCCTGGAAAGCATTCTCCTTCCCCTCTGTAACACATACAGTTTTTTTCCCCTTTTTATCATGAAAATCTTCAAATATTCAGAAAAGTAAAGAGAACAGTATAATTAATACCGTATACTTATCACCTAGATTTAACAGTTGTTAGTATTTTGACATATTTGCTTCAAGGATGAGTTTTTTCTGAGATATTCTAAATAAATTATAGATATCATCACACTGCCAGCCTAAATATTTCTGTATGCATCTCTACAAAATAAAAGGCAGTTTCCTACTTAAGCACAACACTGTCTCACACAATAAAATTAATAATAATACCCTATATCACCTAATACCTAATGTGCCTTTAATTTTTGTGTCCCCAATGCCTAGTACACTTTCTGATAAATAGGAAGAAATGCTTCAATGAATTAATTTCTCTCTAACAAAAAATGGGACAACAGTAGGATATTTATCTACTCAAAAGTGTTGGGATTTTATAGTTTAAATTTTTTTCTCAATAATGTGCTTTCATTTGCAGATGAAGATACAAAAAGGAGAGCAAAGAAAGCCAAGAAGAAGGAAAGGAAGAAGAAACACAGATCGTCAGTTTTTTGTTTAATTTTTATTGTAGAAAAGTTCAAATATATATAAAATTACATAAAGTAGTATAATGATCCCCCATGTACCCATCACCCAATTTGAACAATTATCAACTCATAGGCAGTCCCCATCATCCCCCCATTTATTTTGGAACCAATCTCAGATATTATTCCATCTATAAAGAATTCAGCACCTTTCTCTAAAAGATAGGCATTCTTTCTTTCTTTTTTTTTAACAGACAGGGTCTTGCTCTGTTACCCAGGCTGGAGTGCAGTGACACCATGATAGCTCACTGTAACCTCGGACTCCTGGGTTCAAGCAGTTCTCCCGCCTTGGCCTCCCAAAGTGCTTGGGTTACAGGCATGAGCCACCTTGCCCAGCCTTCATTCTTTTTTTTTTTTTATAAAACCATAATCACAATACTAAAATATTTATCACACCTAAAATATTTAACAATACTTCCTCAATTCTCAGCAGTTTTTCCCTACAGTTTATTCCAATCAGGATCCAACTAATATCCATAAATTGCATGATTATATTCTTATGGTATCCTTTAGCATGTTCTTCTGTCCTCTGTATTTCCTGTAGATTGACAGGTCTAGAGGCTTGACAATGTTCAGAAGATTTGAGTTTTGGGCAGGAATACTTCATAGCTGGTGCTGTGTACTTCCATCAGGAGGCAAATAAATGTCTGGTTGTCTCTTTTCATCACATTAGCAGCCATTGATGGTCATTGCCTAGATCCATTATTTCATTAGGGATTGCAAAATGGTGAAAGTCTAATTCTGGCTTTCGTTCATTTATTAGGTAGGATAATTCTATAAGATAAGCTTACCCTCATCAACTATTTAGATACCCTGAAATACAGTTTGTATAATAAGGGAAGGATAATTGATTTTGTTGTTGTTGAGTTTTCAAAATAATAGGTTGGATTTTTTTAATATCATTATGAACCCGAGGATTTAAACATAATTTGGTGTATTTTAATTTATTGCACTTTAAATTGTTACTAATGCTCAAATTGATAAGAGTCATTTTTTAGGCTGTTTATTTATGTTGTTTTTATACAACATGAGAACTATATTTCATGGTTCCCTTCAGTGATCTTTTTTATAGTGAAACGATTTGGTTAAATAAGTTAGAAGATTTTTTAATTAAAATTATTCTCTAGCAAGTTTGAATAAGCTGGGAATTCAGGTCATTTTAATGTCTTACCTTTCATTGCCTTAATATTCCCATGCCCTTTAACATGGCAATATTAAATGAATTTATATCAAATTATAATCCCCACAGGAAGAAATACAAGAAAAAGAAGTCTAAGAAGAGCAGAAAAGAATCCAGTGATTCAAGCTCTAAAGATTCTCAAGAAGAGTTTCTGGAGAATCCCTGGAAGGATCGATCAAGTAGGTTCTTCCGATAGACTTTAACTCAGAACAGATGAAACATTAAATTAACTGATTAGTCAAAATATAAATGTGTTTCTGAACATCTTTCATGCAGAGGCTGAAGAACCCTCAGATTTGATTGGCCCAGAGGCTCCAAAAACACTTGCCTCTCAAGATGATAAACCTTTGAAGTAAGTAGTGCATTTATAATATTTCAAGTATCTTCCAAAAAGTATGCTTCTAACTTACCTTGCCAAGCTTATCTCCCTCTGTTCCCTTATTTATACCCCAGCCTCCAACTAATTATGTACTTTCCCACGTTTGGGCCTTGTTCAGCTTGTTTCTTCCCCCAACATAAATTCCCTTCTTTTCTCTGCCCTCTGTTTTCTTTCCTACTCCCAATTTCTTCATATTAAAATCTTTACCATCGGCCGGGCGCGGTGGCTCACACCTGTAATCCTAGCACTCTGGGAGGCCGAGGCGGGTGGATCGCTCAAGGTCAGGAGTTCGAGACCAGCCTGAGCAAGAGTGAGACCCCGTCTCTACTAAAAGTACAAAGAAATTATCTGGACAAATAAAAATATATATAGAAAAAATTAGCCGGGCATGGTGGCACATGCCTGTAGTCCCAACTACTCGGGAGGCTGAGGCAGGAGGATCTCTTTGAGCCCAGGAGTTTGAGATTGCTGTGAGCTAGGCTGACGCCACGGCACTCTAGCCAGGGCAACAGAGCCAGACTTTGTCTCAAAAAAAAAAAAAAAAATCTTTACCATCCTTCAAAGCCCTTTCAAAAGGATGGGCATATGCTCATTTCCAATACTTCCCCTCCACAAGTAGATGTGATTTCTATCCCTGTTTAATCCTCACAGCATTTTCTATTTCTTTTATGCAATGTATATATTTTACGTTCTATTATAGTTACATTCTTATTAATATGTAAACTCCACAAGGACAGATTATTTTTGTATTACAAGCTTTAGATTTAATAGGCACATAAAAAACATTCACTGAATTGAATGAAGGGATGGTAGCTCTTAAAATCCTTTGAAGGAAAGTTAATTGATAATTGTCACTATATATCATTAGTTTGGGCTATAAGTCTAAAAAGTGTGTTAATTTGAGATATATTATTTCTTTACTTTGGATTTTTTTGAGGGAAAAAGGGAATCAACTAGAGGCAGAACCAGTAATGGCAATACCTATAGGGGTAAATTAATCCATAATTGTAAACCACGAATCTGCACTCACTAACATCACTTCTTTTGTTATTCCAAAATATTTCTGCATTTCTGGGTTAGTTATATAGGTCATAGTGCAATGTTCACTGATTAAAATGAAGTAATTCACATTGGTCTTCCCAAAACACTACTGCTGAGCATTGTTATTTCTACTCTTGTCTGGGAGAAAATGTTTTCTTGTGCTCTCTTTAGATGATGTGCTTTTTATATTGAGATGGTTTAACGGACCTTTTCTGAATTCTGAATTACTTTGTAGCTATGGCCATGCTCTGTTACCTGGTGAAGGTGCAGCTATGGCTGAATATGTAAAAGCTGGAAAACGTATCCCACGAAGAGGTGAAATTGGCTTGACAAGTGAAGAAATTGCATCATTTGAATGCTCAGGTTACGTAATGAGTGGTAGCAGGTATGTTGTTGGCATTGAGGTCAGTTTCCATGCTTAGATCTTTTCCTTCTTTCTTAGTACCAAAATTATATTTTGGTGATTAATTTTCATTAAATGACTATTCCTTTTTTTTTCTTAACCTCAAGTATGAAAGTATAAGTGACTATTACTAATGAAAAATAGAGTATAAATAATGGTTTGATATTAGTTTTATTGGTATAATCACAGTTGTATAAAATTCCAAATATATATGCAAGTCAGCCTCAAACTCAGCTATATCTCCAAATTCAAAGAATCAATCTTTCCAGTGTTTTTTCCTAGTAGATATTTTGGTACAGATATTTTATCCACTGGAGGACATAGTTAAATTCATCTATTTATCATTTCTCCATGAGGAATGTGGCATTTCGATAGTTAGGAAAGCATTTTCATAAGACAATGTTGCCTGGTTTGCAAGTTTGCCTCCTGTTTTATGTGGACCCAGGTTTCTGAGAATGAATAACAGAAAAGGATTACGAAAGACATCAGGTTGGCATGGGGAAATGAATAGGGAAAAGAAAGCAAAGTACCAAGAAGAACCAGAAGAATAAGCTAATAATGTAGCAGTACTAAGATCAATTGAAGTTTGGATTCTTTAAAGCTTTATAAACTTTTAAGTAGATAACTGCTTTTAAATGACATTGGGGAGAAGTATTTGCAGAACCCCGGAAGTACTTCCAGAATCTTGAAATTGTGAGGACCAATATTTGAAACATTATATCAGAGGACCAGCGCAGTAAGACAAGAAAAAGAAATTAGAAGCATAAGAATTGAAAAGGAGGACATAACCATGTCATTTTAAGAGGAGAGTTTAACAAATGGTTGGATATAAGGTTAATATACAAAAATCAATTGCATTTCTATATGCCAGCAACAGACAACTAGAAAATGTAATTAAATAAAAAGAAAACAACACTTATAATAATATCAGAGAATATGAAGGACTTAGGAATGAATCTTAACAAAAGATGCCCAAGACCTCTAAAGGGAAAACTATAAAACATTATTAAGAGACATTATCGGCTGGGCGCGGTGGCTCACGCTTGTAATCCTAGCACTCTGAGAGGCTGAGGCGGGCGGATCGTTTGAGCTCAGGAGTTCGAAACCAGCCTGAGCAAGAGCGAGACCCCGTCTCTACCAAAAATAGAAAGAAATTAA